ATTTAATTTTCTCATTTACAAAATGTGGATAATAACCTACCTCACAGATGTGTGTGAGAAACTGTTGGAAGGCCCTTGTTTAAAACCAGGGTTTATATCCCCATATTTAATGTAAACCCCTTCCTTTTTTTAAATAGGTATCTTTGATACTGATAGGATGAGTATCTTGATTTTTACATAAGTTTTATGTGGTGAGAACATAGTAGTAAAAATGTTTAAGAACACGGTTTCACAGGTTATGGTGTTCTTGTTTTAAGTGATATTTTACATTTCTTGAAAACATTAAAAATTCAAATATCAAGCTTGTTCTGAATATTCTTATTCAGAACTTCTTAAAATGTTGGCTGAAGCTGCCTTAATGTATGAAAATACAGCTTTCTCTTAAGACTATTCACAAACATCTATGGTTGTACAGTGTTTTGAATGTTTAATGTAAAGTTTTTATAGAACCGTGAAATCTAAGGATAGTATCTTGATATTGTTTTAGGAAGAATGGTTGTGTTCTTTATCATGTATGCTTAAATATTAGATTGTAGACGTTGAGTGCAACAAATAAAACTGAAAGTTGACAGCCATTAGGTTATGTCCATGACAATCATAAGATAATGTAGGATTAATCAGATATTGATTATTCAGTTTTTTTCAAGAGCATCCCACATTCATTCTTTCTTAGCCCATCTTTGAAAAGAAAAAAAAAAAACCCTTAGGTTGATACACATTAACCCGCTGGAGCATTTTATTAGATATCTATTTAAAATTTTTTAAACTGTTGAAATTGGGACCACTTTTTATAACTGGTTTCAGGAAAAAAAAAAAAAAAACGACTTCCAGTGCTTTTGTGTTTTAATAACCATAGATCAAATTTCAGTTTTGTTTGTTATGTATTTTTTGTGAGTGTTAAATGATCAATAGGAAGGATTTGTCTTCCAGTAACCATTGGAAAAGATGTCTTCTTGAATCACATGGCATTTCATAGTTACAGGTTCTCTCTGATTATCTCCCTAATTCATGTTTGCACTGTATGAAACTCAAAGGCAACAAACACAAAAGAGAAAAGCAGCCTACCTGATTGCTTGTAAGCTTTTTTCACAAACTCACATTAAAGTCTGTGGTTCATTTGAAAGCCGTTTTTTATTTCTGTTCGGTCATTAAGCTAAAATTCCGCATGCCACCTAATAGTTAAAGAGAAAGTTCTTACAGGAAAAGATTACTCATTGGAGATTTTACACTATCTTTTGTTCATTATTGTCTCCTTGTACATTAGTTTTTAACTTTAGCCATTGTATTAGTTTTCTATTGTTGCTAAAACAAATTATTATAAACTTAACAAATTTATTATCTTGCTGTTCTGTGAGTCAGAAATCCAGTGGGCTTAAGTGGTTTCTCTGCTTCAAGTCACTCAGGTTGAAAACCAAAGCATTGATAGGGCTGGACCCTGGGGGAGACTCTGCTTCCAGGCTCATTCTAATTGTTGGCAGGATTTAGTTCCATGCCATTGTAGAGCTCTAAGGACCCTGTTTCCTTAATGGCTGTTGACCAGGGGTCGTTCCCTTTTGAAGGCCATCTCGAGGCCACTGGCATCTCCTTCCCTCGATCTTCAAAGCCAGCAACAAGGGGCTCAGGCTTCTGATCTCCCCTCCTCCTTTTCCACCACATCTATCTGACTGGCTGACTGACTCTCTGCCTTCATCTTCCAATTTTAAGGGCCCTTATGAGTAAGTTGGGCTTGCGTGTATAATGTACTTTTTGAAAAACGTTGTAGTGTGACCCTCATTAGAAAGAAAGAAAAATGTGAACATATCAAAGTCAGGATATATGGTAAAAATTTCAATTTTCTTATTCTAAATTTTAAAGAATGGATTTGTTTTTATTAGTGAAAATATTTTTCCGTTATTTCCTAAATTGCACAGGTAATGGATGCTTATTGTAGGAAATTTGAAATGTACAGGAAATTTGAAGAAGCTGAGAAAAACATCGCTCACACCCTGTTATCCAGAGGCATTATATATTCATTTTTTCTCTTCATTTCTTACCCCTAGAATATACTTTTTTAAAGTTCTGAAGATTTGCTGGAGAGGGCCTGGTCAAGAAGGATGCTGTGTCGTCTTGGAAAACCACAGGTATCACAGAGGTACTCAAGAGGGGAAGGGAAGGTTTTGCTGGTATATATTAAGGTTACCAGAGGATGGACCTACATATAAATGAATTTATGAGTGGGCCAGTATTAGCCTCTGTTCGGGTCAAGTGCCTTTGTATGCTGTCGTTTATCTTATAGGATGGTATTACTTTTGCTATCTTTTTATACGAAATTCAAAGTAAAATAGAAACTCAGTCTTTCTGAAGCTTTATCCTAGATTACGGTTTCTAAGAGACAGATCACATTTGCTTGGGACGTCATTGAAGTCTTAGTTACAATGTTTATATGTAAAAAGCTTGCAGGTCAATAATGTGAGAAATGTAGTTTGAATGCTTTAATTTAAATAATGGAGTAAATATGGCTGAAATTAAATAGAAACATAACCATATTAAGTATGGATAGAATGGATTAAAACAATTTTTTCTAAAAACACATACAATATCAATAAATAGTAATTAGGTACTAGTTTACATTAGACCAAATAGTTTATACTTTAAAAACATTTAATAGGTTTTTAACACTGAGCTTTTTTTTTTTTTGGAGACAGAGTTTTGCTCTGTTGTTGGGCTAGAGTGCCATGGCATCAGCCTAGCTCACAGCAGCCTCAAACTCTTGGGCTCAAGTGACCTCCTGCCTCAGCCTCCAGAGTAGCTGGGACTACAGGCGTGCACCACTATGCCTGGCTAATTTTTTCTATTTTTGGTAGAGACAGGATCTCGCTCTTGCTAAGGCTGGTCTCGAACTCCTGACCTCAAGCAATCCTCCTACCTCAGCTTCCCAGTGGCTAGGATTACAGGCATGAGCCATTGTGCCTGGCCTAACACTGAACATTTTTCTGTGTCTCTGTAAGATAAATTTATCACATTCCAGTCATTCTTTCAAGTCTTAAGATTTGAATTTTTCAAATGTATTTTTAATGGAAATTTATTTATTTTTGTGTTTTGTTTTTGTTTTGTGATAGGGTCTCCCTCTGTTGCTTGGGCTAGAGTACAGTGGTATTGTCATAGCTCACTGCAACTTCAGATGCCTGGCCTCAAGTGATTCTCCTGCCTTAATCTCTGGAGTAGATGGGACTATAGGCATGCATCACCATGCCCACGATAATCTATTTTTTGTAGAGATGAGGTCTATGTTGCTTAGGCTGGTCTCGAACTCCTGGCCTCAAGCGATCCTCCTGCCGCTGCCTCCCAAGTACTAGGATTACAGGCATGAGCCACTGCGCCCAGCCAAAAATGTATTTTTGTTTTCAGCATCTTCCAACTTCAGTAATGGCCAGGTATAAAAATAACACCATATATACAGTATTGTGTATTAAGAATTTTAAAATATTTTTATTATTACATTACAGCATGACAATAATCCTGTGAAACAGACAAAATGAATGTTACTGGCCCTGTTTTACTAATGAGGAAATTGTGTCACAAAGAGCTGAGTCATTGAATTAGAACAAGAGGTCCTATGATGAGGTAGAGAGTACATGGAACAAACCTATCTCAGTCCAAATTTAGTCCCACTGTCACACTCCAAGATTTAAAATACCTCGTGGTTTGGTGAAATGGCAAGAGTGACATATGGTTTATGATTTTTTTGGACAGGATTATTGCATGGAAAGTTTCTGCTCAGCATAGCCATATACTCTCTTACTCACCTCCTTTCCCTCAGGACATACTTATGCCCATCTTCTACAATGCCTACTGTGACAGGCTTTGTGCTAGAGATCAGAAGAGGGCTGCGATGATTGCCTCTCACTAGGGGGGTGAATTTAATTCAAGGGGTCTAAGCAGAGTTTGGTCTCTAGTCCAAGCAGAAATACTTTCTCAATGTTCAGTAGCAGCCTTAATCTCATCTCCCCAAAAAGAAGTCTCAGAACCATTTCCTAATTCTCCTTCTCTCTCACCTCTACATCTGATCAGTCACCAAGACATTCTGTTTTCTTTACCTCTGTAATACCTCAATGGGACTCCTGTGCTATATACTTCTATTACTGCTGTCTTGATTAAGGTCTAATGCCCCTTTGCCTAGAATTTCATAAAAACAATTAGTCTCTCCTCTATTATCCACATTGCTGTGATTGCTTTTTTCCCCCTAAATACCTGGCATTTCCTTCATGCTTAACCCTTGAATGGCTCTTTACCCTCTAGAGGAAAAAGTACAAACAAACTCAGCGAACTGTGTCACATTCTAGCCTCAACTTACCCCATTCCAAACGGCTCTTGCCATTTCCCACCAGACATACTACACTCATTTACTTAGAATTTTTTCATAGTCCATGTCTGCCTTATATTTTAAGACCAAACTTCAGTGCCACTTTCTCTGTAAAACCTCTTAATCCTCTAGCCATTTCATTCATAGCTTGTTTATTTTAATTATGTCATATGTAATAATCTCTTTACCCATTTCCTTCTCTATACTGTGAACTCTAATGAATACTTCAGATTTCTGTCTTTTAGAAGAACTTAGAAGTTTAAAAAATAGTCTCCAAGTATAAAGGATGAGGCCCTGGAAACAAATTCTTTCACACCCTTGAAGGCCAGAATCCCCATGCTTAAAAAAGCCACTTAAGAAATTGTAACAGTTGAATGCATATGTAGAATTTATTTATCTCATTGACATGCAGGGCATACCAAGCTCAGCATTTAAACTTTTATTTACTTTCATATGAATTCTACTGTTTGAATAGGTATTTAGGCATAGATAAAATGGCAATTTTTCTTATTTTGGGCAACAGGATGTTTTACAGTGATACAGCATATATTTTATTTTGTTAAATACATTTAGGCACCTACAATGATGTTGGGTGAATTTAGGAATAAATTAGTTTTCAGTAACCTATTTCTAAAAGCAACCAATGTTGAACAGAATACATGTGATTTTATTTTTGTGATAAAGCAAAAGGACACTTTACGTTGATTTTTTTAAAGTCTGAGTCACAATTATTTTAAGACTGTACCTTAAATTTGAGTATTTAAAAGACCTTGGTTATACTATTTACTGTTCAGAATTAAATTATACCAAATTTTAATGCACAACATCTAGAAATTATAAACTCTCATGTACTAATATTAGAAGCAAACTAACCATCTGCACAACTGACTAGGTGCCATAAGGCATGATTTCTAACTTTGGATATGGCTCATTAAGCAAGTGCTCAAATGCTAACACACACAGTTTCACATTCTCTTAAGCTGGCAGTGAGACAGATGCTGAAATAGACATTGAAAGATAACCTTTTAGGAGTGAAACCAACATCTAATGTTGAGAATTTGTTTTGATTTTTCTCTTCTGAATGAAAGTTTCCACAGATTCCACCATCTCATTGTGACATGTGAACTAAGATTTTGGACTAGTTTTCTCTTGTGCAGCCCATACCATTTGATCTTGATCCTCCTAAGGTGACCAACTTTGGGGCCTGAGAAAAAAGAAAAATATACATATACAAACATTTTGAAATGTAGGCCAATGGAATAATGAGTAGGAGATTTCTAGGGAATTTCTCATCGAGTTCAGTATTTTTATGTTCCTTTAAAATATTTACAATGTTCTGTGGAGAAGTTTGATAACATATTCAGGAGACACAATAATATGTCTCTTCCAATGTAATCCTTATGGAATAGGGTACTGTATATTTAATTTTTCAAGCTTTTCCTGAATTTCAGTAAATTTGGTACTCTTCTCTTAGGCCTAATGCATATAACAATGTAGTAAGTATTTAGAACTCATGATGAAAAGTATAAAAGAACTCATACTTACTTGAAATGTAGATTTTCAATTAGCACATATCCATCTATAGAAACAAAAATTGCTGTTACTAATTTAAAAATTACAGAGAAAATGCTTTAAGATTCATTAAAAAACAGTGATAGGAATTTTATGGGCAATAAGCCAATAAACTTACATTTGCCTTTAGAATTACGACATATCACTAGATTTTGTTCAGTGGTATCAATGACTTCCAGTTCTTCTCCAGGGATTATTGACAAATCAAATATTCCATTTCTTGAATTACTGGAACATACCACTGCTGTGTTGATGACAATAATCTCTTTGTTATACTGAAATGAGAAATTACTAATCAGACCATTTTTGCATAGTTGCTCTTCTTTTTCATTATATAATAACAATTAATGAAGGATATAATATAGTAATCTCAAACTCAAGATATTAGATCAGACTAGTTAAATAACACTTAAGGGAAGAACAAATAATGAGAAAGTATATGGTGAAAGGAAAGTCATTTAAGAAAATAATGGCAAAATGCTATAATCTTACATTTGTTTGCTATGATTATATTTTCAAAGTGTTTTCATAAGCAATATCTAATTGTACTTGAATGAGTCCTAGTAGACAAGAAGGCTGTAACATGGGTATAAATTCCGTACTGTGGATGATATGCTTCCTATTCCAGTAATAGTTACCTCCAAATCCAGCAAGGAGAACTTAAAAAAAACAAAAACAAAAACAAACCGTCTTTGTCTGTAGTACCTTAGAGTTTATAATAATATTTACCTACCATTTCTAGATGCCACTGTCTTTCTACTGTTCCCCTCTGGGTGAGCTTATATATTTTTATATATAGCTATAGCACAGGTATTTAAAGTAGTGGGGATTGGGTGCATGGGGGCAATTCCTATTCTCCTTTTGTGGTTGCAAGCAGGCATTTTTGAAAAATCTAATGAGAAAATCATTTCTGACCTCATAAATTTTTTCTCATAAACCTGTGATAAACTAGGTGGCCTGTACATCTACAGGTACATTATCACCTTCTTCTTTTGTTTTCATTTATTTTATTTCAGCATATTACGGGGGTAAAAATGTTTAGGTTACACATATTGCCTTTGGCCCAACTGAGTCAGAGCTTCAAGTGTGTCCATCCCCCAGACGGTGCGCACCATACCCATTAGGTGTGTATGTACCCATCCCCTCATATCTGCCTGACACCCAATGAATATTATTACTGTATATGTACTTAAGTGTGATCAGTTAATACCAATTTGATGGTGAGTACATGAGGTGCTTGTTTTTCCATTCTTGTGATATTTCATTTAGTAGAATGAGTTCCAGCTCTATCCAGAATAATAAAAGAGGTGCTATATCACCATTGTTTTTTGTGGCTGTGTAGAACTCCATGGTTTACATATATTTTCTTATTCCACTCATGTATTGATGGGCACATGGGTTGTTTCCACATCTTTGCAATTCTGAATTGTGCTGCTATAAACATTTGAGTGCAGATGTCTTTTTTATACAATGTCTTATGGTAGTTCTACTTGTATCTCTTTAAGGTGTCTCCATATTACTTTCCACAGAGGTTGTACTAGTTTGCAGTCCACCAGCAGTGTATGAGTGTTCCTGTCTGTCCACATCCATGCCAACATTTATTGTTTTGGGACTTTTTGATAAAGGCCATTCTCACTGGAGAGAAGTGATATCTCATTGTGGTTTTGATTTGTATCTCCCAGATATTAGAGATGCTGAGCATTTTTTCATAGGTTTGCTGGCCATTAGTCTGTCTTCTTTTGAAAAGTTTCTGTTCAGGTCCTTGTCCACTTGTTGATAGGGTTGTTTGATTTTTTTCTTGCTGATTTTTCCTGAGTTCCATATAGATTCTAGTTATCAGCCCTTATCGGATGTGTACCATGTGAATATGTTCTCCCATTCTGTAGGTTGTCTGTTTGTTTGCTCTCGTGATAGTTTCCTTGGCTGTGCAGAAGCTTTTTAATTTGATCAGGTCCCATTTGTTTGTTTTTGTTTTTGTTGTTGTGATTGCCTTTGGGGTCTTCTTCATAAATTCTTTGCCTAGGCCAATGTCTGTAAGAGTTTT